TACAATGTGACAAATGTAACTTTAGTTTTCCTTTTGGGGCAAAACAATTAAGTGTGGACAAGTCTCTGGAGAAACAGAAGGAAAAACAAAACTTAAAATAGCACAATAAATACTTCGTTACAAAATAGTGATTTTAAAAGGCTTAAATAATACGTTGGAAAAACACATGTTAGAGATACAAAACAATGTATAAAAATACATTTTAAATGTAGTAAATAAATAGGATATTTAAAAAAAAAAAAGATAGAATACTTTTTTTTTAATGATTCAGTACATTTTAAAGGTATTGGTTGATGTTTTGGATAATAAAACTTGCTTTTATTTTTAATCATGTCTGTTTCGGCCCTCCAGAGTGGAGACGTCAGTTTATATTAATTTTGATTAATATAAGTATCTTATCCATCTTTATACATAATATCGAGGTATTGATAATTTCAACCACCCTAATGCTTACAACAAACTTAAAAAAGCGAGGAAAGAAGAATAACTCTCTAAGAACTTAAACCAATGCAAATGTAATAGATTACATTTTTATGCTTTCCATTTGCTTTTTGCAGCTTTTAGACCCAAGCCCCTGCTTTCACCCATGTTACATGACAAGCAGCCAACCAGTAATTCAGATGTTACACAAATCCACTATTATATACATTATGCACTCCATTAAGTGCAGAGGACTTCATTGTTTGACCTTTAGAGAAATTACTCTGATACACTATTAAGTACAGCACATTTGTCCCTCATACTGTAAATATTAGGCATTTAGAAACATTATTTATTTAATGATGGGGCTTGTTAGTTTGATGGTCACATATCCTTGTTGTCCCTAAATTTCTTAAAGGGGTCATAGAATGATTATATGGGGTGCAGGTCCTTAAGGTCTCTGAATAGGGTGTGTAACATTGGTTGGGCTGAGAATGGCATATTTGCTGTTCTATGAGCCCTAATGCAAGGCCAGTTAGAAGCCCCGGAATGAAACAACAGGTTTTCTTCCTTTTATGGTATGCTCATGAATATCTAGATGAGCTGTGCGCTGATTGGTTGGTTCACAACGAGCGAAGCTGCTAAGCAAAGACTCAGTCCTACTTTTCATACCTAAAAAATGTCCGGGGGGAATTTCAAAATCATCCAGGATTTTGGTCGACTACAGTGCAGCAGAACCAAGCCGTGAGCTCCAGGGCTGGTCTGGGAACTTTGGAAGACAGGGGGGAGGGAGCCAGCGTCACCCGACCTGGTGACGGTAGCCCTGTGCTTTCCCCTGCCTTCCTGGTAGGACCACCCCTGGAGCTGATGGCTCGGTTCCAGTGCCCGTTCCGATCCAATCAGCAGCCCCAAACCTACACTAGGACTGTTGTAAAATCTTTTTCCACTTGAGGTAGCTAGCAAAGATAAGCTTATCCTTTCACATCAGCATACTGAAAAAGTAATCCATGCCTTTGTAACCTACTCTGTTGGATTACTGTTATGCACTTTTTAAGTGTATCAGTGAATCATGCATTTTCCAGCTTCAGAGGTCTCTTAAGAGGTACAAGTGAATATGATCATATTTCCCAACTTTAGCCTGTTTAGATTGGCTGCCAGTACATATAAGGATTCATTTTGACATCCTTTTTCATTTTTTATAGCTCTAAATGGCCCCACCCAACCTCTCTGGGCTGCTACATAAAGACACACCCTCTCGTTCCCTTAGATCAGCTGACTAGTTGCTACTGAGGGTGCTTAAGACAAAACGCAAGCTCAGGGGGGACCGAGATTTTTCTGTTGCAGCCCATGAGCTGTGGAATGACTTTCCCTTGGCCAAAAGACAGGCCTCTTCACTTTCTGATTTTTAATCTCTTCTTTAGACCCATTTCTTTTATTTGGCTTTTGTGAGCCAATTAAATGTGAGATGTTGACTTTATCCCCATTTACACTACTTTGAAACCGTGCTGTGTTCGGTCCGAGCACAGTGACTGAGAGCTGTTGGTAAATGGCATGCAAAACTGAACCAGACACAACAAGCAGCACTAAAATAGTACTAGTTCAACAGTAGGGCTGGGCCTGGCTCGGTTCTCAGATAACAAAGAGCACATGAGCACACCACATCATCTCCTTACATTCAGTCTCCATAATCATGAAATTTCAGACATTCCTAAAAATACTTGTTTCCCTACCTTGCCACACCATTTCCAGTGATGATTCTGCTTATTAGTTCGATGAACCCCAACATCTGTTGTTGTTTCCTGCGTCTGTAAGAACTGGTTTGACTATCGTTTGTCATATCCACTTCCCAAAACCTGACTCTGTCAAGTTAATTCCCCAAATGCTGCCGTCTTTGCCTAACTCTCCACCAGTAACAAAATATCACAATTATAACAAAACTTCCTGAATGTTATGGACGTCGCCATAGTGATTTGCTAGTTTCCCTCTAGAGAGCAGTAGCACCATAGATCATCACTAGGATCAAGGAACTGTGCTAGCGTGATGTGTAAATGGTCATAAGGAACCAAGCTGATCCAAGCTTGGTCCGAACTCGGCACGGAACGGCTTTCAGAGGGTAGAGTAAATGGGGCTTTAGCTTGTGTTTCTTTTATTATTTTGTCACTATTTTTATTTAATTACTACTTTTATCTGCCACTTTATTTATAATTTCCTGATTGAGAATTTCTATCCTTTGATTGTGTATAACCTGAAGCAGTTGTCAGTGTGACAAGCATAGCAAATGCAATGCCAAAAGTGTCAGATGTACTTTGAGAACTCTTTGAGAACTCTGAGCTGCTTTCAGATGATTACGACACATTGACCACATGCCATGGAATAGCTCTGTCGCCATCAGGTTATTTGATGATGAAACCAGGATCCTGACATGTTTTCACCTTGAAAAGGAACTGCCACGTCTCATCACAGATGTTCGCTCAAAAAAGTAATGTCCGTTTCATCATCTCATCAAGTCAAATGGGGACTGTGTTGATACAAGACTATCCATCTTCAGGGGGATTTATTTTGTGAAGGTGCCATCTAGCTTCAATATGAGGTAGTTTTAAAAACTGTTGTATATAGGGTATATTGAGTGATCAGTATTTGAGTCACACAATAAACCACCCTCATACTACTCTTTATAAAATGAAAAAAGGTGAATGTGGATGAAAAATATCAATATTTGTTGAAGTTGAAGAGAATGCCCTGACTTCTGACAGACAATAGATCTCTCTGCAATCCATCCTCTATTTTCCTGGTTATTTTTGGCCTGTGCTAAAGAGAGGTGGATGGACCTGCATCTGATGCACAGAGCTGTGTAGGTAACATCTATTAGATCTACACAGGGCTTCTATGTTTTATATCTCAGTTCAACCAAACCCACAGTCAAAGATGAGCTCAAGTGTGACCAGACACGCTTTGATGGCACCAGGTGTGTATATGTACCAGACATAATGTATGCATTTAGTGCAGAGCTGGTAATGAGAAT